TATATATATATATTTAAATTCTAATAAAATATAATAAATTATCAATTTTACATTTTAAAGTAAAATTTTTTAAATTAAAATAATATAAAATGTAAAATTGACTAAATTATATCTTTATAATAAAATATAACCACACCTTTCTAGTAAATTCATCCAAAAAAGTTATGAATTTTTTTTTACCTCCTATTGATGGAGTCTCAATCAGGCCACATATATCTAAATGAAACACTTCCAATGATTGTCTTGCACGGGAATGTGCACAAGACTTGAAATCTTTCCTCCATTGTTTACTCACAAGACACCCTTCACAAACATGTTCTGGTGGTTTATTGGAAGGCATCCCAATCACCATTTGTTTTGCTCCAAGTTGATTCAGGCTTTTAAAACTCAAGTGCCAAAATTTGTAATGCCATAGCCATTTTTCATCCTTAGTATTTGTGGCTAATAGACCCTGCACCTCTATTAAGGTTCTATTTTAGGACAAAGGAATCTTTAACATCAATCTTTGCTTCGAAGCAAATATCTCTATGTGATTTTCCTTCATAGTCATTGAGAAGCCCTTCTCTAGAAACTATCCCAAACTGAGTAAATTGGTCTTCATTGATGGTAGATACAAAACATCAGTCACATGTGCAGATTTTTCATCTTCCTCTTGATCACAACCTTTCTCATTCCCTTTGTTGTAATGATATTGTTATCTGCAAACTTCTTCTTTTTCCAAAATCTTTGAGTTGGACCGCCCTATTGTCTATTTGAAGACTCGATTTGATCATGTTTAGTCTGACACTGATTTTGACCATTTAATGAGTCACCAGTTCCACCACTCTTGCCATCTTCCCACTTGCCTTTTCCTTTCTTGTTCCAACCACTTGCACCTTTCTTCTTGTAATTGGTTTGAGCCAGCAAGATTTGTTCATGAATTTTTTCACCATTCCTCCTATCATTTAGTCTCTATTCATAACCTTCAAGGGAATTCTACAACTCCTCCACCTTTCGTCTCAAGATCTTTGAATTCCTCGATTGCCACCAAAATATGATCAAAACGAGGAGTCAAAGTTCTCAACACCTTGTCTACAATCTGTTGATCTATAAATTTCTCATTATAAGATTTTATCGAATAATGAGGGCTTGAATTTGATTGAAACAATCAATTATGGATTCCTGATCATTCATAAATAACAACTCATATTTCCTTCGAAGAGATTGAAGTTTCACCTTTTTCACTTTATCAGCACCTCCATATGCTTTATGCAGGATATCCCAAGCTTCTTTTGTCGAATTAGCTGAGCAAATTTTCTCAAAATTTTTAGAATCCACACATTGATGGATTAAGAAAAGGGCTTTATAATCTTTCTTCTTCAAATCTTTGTAAGTTGCTTATTGCGCCTCTATAACACCTTCTTCCACTTCTTGAATTATGTTCTTCAAAATTTCCAGCACTTTTTGGAAACCAAAAATGACACTCATCTTCACGCACCATTGATTGAAGTGTTTGTCATAAAAAATAGGTAAGTTGGAAGAGAAAGCCCTATAAGAACTAGCCATGATTCACTCTTCCAACAGCATGCAAGAAAATAGAAGTATCAACACACGAATATATAATAGAAACTCTCACAAGAAAGAGTTTTCCTGACAATAGAATGCCTTGCAACCTAGTGAGTTTCACACACCACCCATAGGTCCTCCACAGTCAACAAGCTCTTGATATCCATTTGTTGGGGATAATATGCACAAAAATGCACACCCTCATAATGGAGAACAGAGAGTGCAAACTAAGTAGAGAAAAACTTTATTTTCACACTTGCGTATTATACATGACTACTCATCCCTCTTCTTAATGAGAAGTAATACAAATGTGTATTTATAGAGTACATTGATATATGTACAAACTAAACCTTTAAACTATTGTACAAACTAAACACATAGACTATACATATATATAGACGATACATGCAGACTATACATTTGAATTACAATACTCAATATCATTAACTAATTTTAAATATATCCCACTATGACATTGGCAAAAATAAAATCGGTTGTATAATCAATTTTATAGGTAAAAAAATAACCGATTTTGAAGTCGATATTTCCATTGGTGATTCTAAAATCATTCACTATACAAAAAATGTCATGTAGTGACACATATCTATAATGACACAATTCTTATCATTAAAAAATACTTTTACCTATATTATAGATACAATATTTGTTGATATATTATTAAAATATTATAAGTATATGTTATAGTGACATACAAAATATATTGTTGAATCTCATGCAAAATTAACACTAAAATTGTATGTAAATATATGTCAAATAAATTTATATCTTCATATAATGAATCTACAATGATACTTTTTAATATGTAATGTTTCTTGTAGTGACTCTTTGAATTAAATGATTTAAATAGTTATTATAATTCAATGACACTATACCTAATTCAAAAATAACTTTTTTCACCAATAAATATAAATTATATAATTAATAAATCAATAAATGTATTTACTTACATTATACTATAAAAAAGAAGAATAACAACTAATATATCTTAAAATATGTCTTTATTTCTTGTTAGAGAGAATCAAAAGAGGAGATAAACTGTTTAACATCTGATATATTGATTCTAAAACTGAACAGTGATACAAAGCAAGAGTTTCTATATATAATAGGAGGAGACAATTAAATTGACATAAGAATAACAGTTGTATTGCCACCTCATTCATATTGAGCTAACAGACTATATCTATTTCAAGAGACTGCTGACTTGATATCCTTTTTATCCCTCTTCAAACTTAGTGTAGATTGTTTATCTACAGTAAGTTTGTCTCTCAGCTGCAAGAAGATGACTGAACTTGGAGCCTTTGTTAACAGATCTGCAACTTGAAGTTTTGTTGGAATATGCCTGACCTGAATTTTTCCCTGAGCTACTCTTTCTCTAATAAACCACAAATCTAATTCAAAATGTTTAGTTTTAGTGTGTAAAACCGGATTTATAGAGAGAAGAACAGCCCCTTGATTATCACACCATATCAGTGGTTGATTTCTGCTGCTGACATGAAGTTCTAAAAGCAGATTTTGAATGTACTGGATTTCTGTAACTAGACTTGCCATACTTCGAAATTCAGCCTCTGTGCTGGACCGTGATACCACTCTGTTTCTTTGCCATCCAAGATACAATATTGGGTCCTAGATACACATAATTTCCTGATGTTGACCTCAAATCTTCTTGATCACTTGCCCAATCTGAATCACAATACGCATATATTTCAGTATCACTTGATTTCTGGTAGTGTAATCCATGTTGCGGTGTACCTTTAAGATACCTAAGGAGTCTCTTTACTGCTTTCCAGTGGACTTCAAGAGCAGTATGCATGAACTGACATAACTTGTTGACTATGTAGGCAATATCGGGTCTGGTAATGGTCAAATACTGCAAAGCGCCAACTATCGACCTATAGCAGCTCGGGTCCTGACATACTGCTGTACCATCATTCGTTAATTTTGAAGCAGGTGCCATTGGTGTTTTGACAGACTTGGCATTAGACATGTTGAGTTTGTCAAGAATATCCATAAGATATTTGGTTTGAGAGAGGTGAATGCCACCTGCACCATCTGAGTTAACTTCTATTCCTAAGAAGTGATGAAGTCTGCCAAGGTCTTTGAGAGGAAAGAATTGATGAAGATTCTGAATGAGACTTTGTATAGTTGTAGACGAGTTGCTGGTGATGATTATATCATCAACATAGATCAGAATGTATATTGATGTGGTTCTGGATGTGGAGATGAAAAGAGAGTTGTCAGATTTAGCTTGTTTAAACCCCAACTGTATCAGAGTTAAGGTTAGTTTCTGGAACCAAGCTCTCGGAGCCTGTTTCAAACCATAAATTGCTTTCCTTAGTTTACAAACAATGTTTGAATTCCCTTTATGAAACCCCTGTGGCTGAAGCATGTATATCTCCTCCTGTAGCTCTCCATTTAGGAAGACATTGTCCACATCTATTTGATGAATTGGCCAGCCTTGCGAAACAGCCAGAGCAAGGACTACTCTGATGCTGACAGGCCTGACAACCGGACTGAAGGTGCCAGGGACTTGTTTTGTTGACTTTGTTCTGCTCTCAGGACATTACGCAGGGTAACAATGGCAACGTGATAGTGACGGGGCAGTGGTTTTATCGCCCTGAAGAAGCTGAGAAAAAAAGTGGTGGAAACTGGAAATGACAATATTAATTGAGTATTTTTTTTATAATTTATCTTGATTTAAGAAATAAAGTGAAATCACGTTAAAATTACACAAATTTAATCATGATCTCATTTTAATCTCGAGTCAGATTATAATTTATCTCGTTTTAAGAAATAAAGTGAAATTACGTTGAAATTACACCTACTTAACCATGATCTCATTTTAACCTTGGGTCAGGTTATAATTTATCTTAATTTAAGTGTGTGTTTACTTTCACTCTCTATCAACTTAGACATAATTTGGAGAAGCAACTATTAATTATTTTTGATGCGTTATGACATGAAAATGTTAAAAAACGTGAATCACAAACGTAATACCAAACAAGTACTAAACTGGGTTGAAATCACACAAACTTAACCATGGTCTCATTTTAACCTTGGGTTGGGTTGGGTAAAAGGAGTGACATCAGTTATATACATTGCGTGCATGAATGTAACCACCTTGTCGTGGAGTTTGAAGCGAGGCAGTGATCATAATGGGGAATCGACGTTTCACTCAGGTTGCGACGAGCGACGATGAAGACGAAGCAGTTCAACCGCATCAACAACGCACGTGGAAGAGGATGAGGCTTATGGAGGAAGATAAATTAGATAACGATAACGAGAATGAGGAAGAAGTGGGTCAGGAACCGCCTCAGCTTGTGGAGGACGCTAAGCCCATTGACGAGCCCATTAGGTTTTCAGGAAAAGGAAGAGGCAGGAAGAAGCACTATGAATCCTTTGAATTCGACGGCATCCAATACAGTCTCGTAAGTTCGTTTTTCTGCTCAATTCTATAGGGATTTTAAGTGAACAAAATCGTTCCCAAATTGGTTTTGTTTGTGCAGGAGGACCCTGTTCTTCTCGTCCCCGAGGAAAAAGGCCAAAAACCATACGTCGCCATTATTAAGGTGCACTTATCTATTTCCCTTGTCAATTGCTGTTGATTCATGCATGAAACATGATATATAATTATTATTTTTCCCCTGTAAATACTTTTTTTGTGGCTGCATTCATGTTTTGAAGTGCTTTCTATCCAATTTTTCCAGGGACTTGTTTTGTTGACTTTGTTCTGCTCTCAGGACATTACGCAGGGTAACAATGGCAACGTGATAGTGACGGGGCAGTGGTTTTATCGCCCTGAAGAAGCTGAGAAAAAAAGTGGTGGAAACTGGAAATCGTGTGATACGAGGGAGCTGTTTTATAGCTTCCACCGTGACAATGTTCCTGCGGAAGCTGTTATGCATAAGTGTGTGGTACATTTTGTTCCCTTGCACAAACAACTTCCAAAACGTAAGGATCATCCGGGGTTCATTGTACAGAAGGTGTATGACGATCTTCTGGAGGAAGATAACGATAACGATGACGAGATTAAGGAAGAAGGGCCTCAGCCTTTGGAGGACGCTAAGCCCATTGGCGAGCCCGTTAGGTTTTCGGGAAAAGGAAGAGGCAGGAAGAAGCACTATGAATCCTTTGAATTCGACGGCATCCAATATAGTCTCGTAAGTTCCTTTTTCTGGTCAACTCTTCACAATTTAGGGATTTTAAGTGAACAAAATCGTTCCCAATTTCGTTTTATTTGTGCAGGAGGACCCTGTTCTTCTCGTCCCCGAGGAAAAAGGCCAAAAACCATATGTCGCCATTATTAAGGTGCACTATCTATTTCCCTTGTCAATTGCTATTGATTCATGCACGAAGCATGATATATAATTATTATTTTCCCCCTATAAATACTTTTTTTGTGGCTGCATTCATGTTATGAAGTGTTTTCTGCCCATTTTTCAAGGGACATGGTTTGTTGACTTTGTTCTGCTGTCAGGACATTACGCAGGGCAACAATGGTAACGTGATAGTGACGGGGCAGTGGTTTTATCGCCCTGAAGAAGCTGAGAAAAAAAGTGGTGGAAACTGGAAGTCGTGTGATACGAGGGAGCTGTTTTATAGCTTCCACCGTGACAATGTTCCTGCGGAGGCTGTTATGCATAAGTGTGCAGTACATTTTATTCCCTTGCATAAACAACTTCCGAAACGTAAGGATCATCCCGGGTTCATTGTACAGAAAGTGTATGACACTGTTGAAAGAAAACTCTGGAGGCTGAGTGATAAGGACTATGAGGATATTAAACAGAGTGAGATTGATGAGCTTGTTCAGAAGACTCTGAGGCGGATTGGTGAACTACTTGACATTGAGCCTGAGGAGGCCCCTGCTGATGATGAGGACCAACTGAAAGTTCGAGTGGGTCACTCGGTCGGGAAGCCTTTTTAGAATAATCCGAAGGCACATCCTTAGCTGAGTGAGTACTTTAGAGGGAAGCCTTGTGAGTTAAATTCGAAGGCACGTCCTTAGCCGAGTGGGTACTCCAGAGGGAAGCCTTGTGAGAGAAATTCGGAGGCACGCCCTTGGCCAATTGGGTCACTCGAGAGGGAAGCCTTGAGAGAAAACCGAAGGTACATCCGTGGCCGAGTGACGACTCGGGAAGGAAACCTTTTCAGGAAAATCGAAGGTACATCCTTGGCCGAGTGACGACTCGGGAGGGATGTCATATCTATTACAAGAGACTGCTGACTTGATATCCTTTTTATTTCTTATAATTTTAAAAAAAAATAAAGCACTCATTTTGTTTCTTATATAAAAAATTAAAGAAAGTATTTTTTATGTGGATTTCATCAAGTGACATAAAAAGTTAAAATTTTTTATATATCCTAAATCTATGCAAGTGTATGACTAACAATGAAAAACATTTTTAATTAACAGAAAAATCTCACCCTGCATCATGATTCCTGTATTTCAATATGGGTAGATATACCAAAAAAAAAATATTTGGGACTAAACTCCAGAAATATATCATATATATTCCAATGGGCGCCCTCGGTTTCTCAAACCCTAACAAAATCTAGTTTGTGGGAAAAGTTGTTAGGTTGGGTTGGATTTCATACTAGATAGCTTCTTGTATGAAAACTTATCATGTTGGAAAATCCCGGAATTAATTGGATCATGAGAAAGGGATTATTAATAATGAATGTCATAAGTGAAAACTGAAAACTGAAAAGAGAACGGAAGACGCGAATATTAAAATAAACTACACATTATTTTCGTACAATAACAAGACATTCTAATATTAAAATAGACGAAGAAGACAATTAATTATTTCAAAATCAATACTACTGTTGTCATGAGAGTGACACCTTACTCATGCATCATGACGAACCTGAATTATTAGTTCGTGTTCTAACTATCTAGTTGACAGCATGACACTGAGTCTTCGTAAACGCGGGGAACTCGATTGATGTAACATGAGCTTTGTCTAGTTCTACATAACTGATAAAGTAATTTCAAAACCGATCAGACACAACCACCACCCTTTTGTTAAAAGAAAATTCCAAAGTGTGCAATCAACCAAGTAACCATAAACGGAAAGAGGGTGAAAGGTTTATGCATGTAATAAAGAATTGAAAGTTATTTTCTTTCTTTTGATTCAATAGAAGTACGAATCGTGACTTAATTATATATTAATAAACAACGTGAACTTTGACTTGGTTAATCATACCCATGAAATTATTGGCCGTGATTAAGTGCTAACTTCTTTGTGTATCAAATTTAGTAATTTAATTTGCAAAAGGCAAACTTTGCGGCTCCAATGTGTCGACCTCTCTTTTTCCTTAAATAATTAATAATTCTGATAGATATATTTTCCACATTTTTAATCCTGTTAGTTTTTCCCACAAGTCTCGCTAGCTGTTTAGTTAATTTTCTAGCTCCAACGGAGAAAGGTAATTAACATAATTTATTTTTGTGAGCAGGTAAATTGATAAAAATACGTACGTACAAAATGTTCTTTATTATAAAAATAATAATATTTGTCTAGTATACGTTTTAATGGTGATTTTGACATTCTTTATCACTATTAAAATCATACTTTGATAGGTATACTTACTAAAAAGTTGGTATCAGAGATAAAAAAAATTTAATGTTAATCTTCATTTTGACAAGTAAAAATCTTGAGTTAAATTAGATACTACAAAATTTCAGTTTGTCACTAAGTAAATAATGGTACTTAGTTTAAAGATCTTTAATATATCATTGACTTCTTGATCGATAGGCATGAGGTAACATCTCCTATCTATGATTTTATGAAATAAAAAAAAAATCAACAAAGTCCAAAAGTTTCATCAAGTTCAAATGGCGAGAAAGTTCTTATTAAGATGAGTTTTATTTTTTTTATTTTTTTTATTTTTTATTTTATAAAAAAGAAAGTAGACGCCTCCATAAATGTGTTCTCTCAAACTAAACAATAAGGATTTAGGGATTTTTCTAAAAATACTTTGAAAAAATATAATAATTTTTTTTATAAGTTAAAATTAGTTTATACATATACTAATTAGAAGTTCTTTCCTATTAATTTCTCTTATATATTATTTTTAACTTATGTATAAACTGGTTTTAACATATGGATAAACTAATTTTTATTTTTATTTTTTCTATTTTTTCTCCTAAAAGTATGTTTGAAGAAATTTTGTAACGACCCGCCAGGTCTCACACTGTCTATAGCGTCCAAATACAAGTATAAAAATAAAATCTCACTACTAAACAATTATATATATAATGAGAATACACAACTAAAAAGTCTCACAATATATATAACTGAAAGTAGGAAAATAATACCCTATACAACAACTAGGTAGTCAAAAGCTACCAATCAACTAATTACAAAGTTAGCCCTCCTCCTGAGTCTCGAAGCTCACCCAGTCCAGCAGATCACCTATCTTGACTTGCTCGAATACCAAGATATGGTCATCGCAGTCCCAACCATATAGGGAAAACACGCTAGGGTAAGCTCACAATAACAAAAAAAAATAGCATCAACATATAATAGACAACAATAAAATTCTACTTTCAACTTGCAACTTAAAGCAACACAACATCTACAACAATAGATATACAATATCATCTACTAGCAACAACATTTTCAACACATCGCACTTTATTCAAATTGACCGCTTGTAATCAATATAGATAGGCCTGACCCCTATACCGTGGTCGCTTCATACACGTGTGCCTCTACCTTGCCCACACACGGGACCAACCAAGTCCTAAAGGAGAACAACACATCATCCACTCCAAGGAACAACTTTCCAAAGAGGGTTTTTAAACAAATTGGGCTCTCAAAGCACCACAACTATCTCAATTCGCACAATGGCATGAGCAACTTCAAAAACTTCTCCTCTAGTTGTGAGACCCCTTGTAATTCCTTTTCTTTCTTCCCTGGACACTCTCTCCTTTTCTTCTCACTCACCTTGTTGACTCCTTTTTCTCATTCACCATCACTTTCTTGCTTGGGACTCAAATTCTCTAAACTCTCTGGGTGAATAGGTGCTGAACCAGTTGAGGGGAACTAGCTGAACCGTGTGGGACTCTCCTATTCTCAAGCTTTCTCTTCTCCACTTCTCCTTCATTGTCGTCTTCCTTCCCGAAGCTCGGAGCCGTTAAACCGAGGTAAGGGAAGCTAGTTAATTACTGCGTTTGGCCAGGAATGAGTGCATATGCTCATTTGTGGTTGAATGATCACTGACTTTGAGCTGAGATTTACTGAACAAAATGGGATTTTGGGGTTTTTCCGGGGTTGGATAAATTTTAGGGTTTTTGATGATTTTGTGATTGCATGTTGGAAATGGATCGTTTTTATTGATATTTGATGAAAGAGGAAGCTTTCGGATGGTTTGCATGTTGGATTTGTGGTTGTTTTTGCAGGTTTTGGTTAAGGTTTTCGAAATGGTGAGGTTGCTGCTGAGCTTCGCGCTGAGCGGGGTTCTTCGCGCCTGGGCGCGCGGCCACCAGGAGACCCCATTTGGCTAAGCTCGCTGAGCGCAATGATGAGTGCGCTGAGCGCGCTTGAGAATATGGTTCTCTGGCTGGCCCGCGCTGGGCGTGACGTGGACCGCGTTGGGCGCGATGCCAGTTGTGGCAGGTTTTGGTCTTTTTGTTGGGCGCTGAGCGCGCCCCTTATCGCGCTGGGCGTGAGACTCTTTAAGAGTCTCTGCCTTGTGGGCGCGGGGCGTAATTTGAATTGCGCTAGGCGCGAGACCAAGGGAGGTCTTTGCCTTCACCGCGCTGGGCGCGTGTTTTGGTGCGCCGGGCGCATGAGACTCCTTGAGTCTCTGCCCGGCCAGCGCTGGGCACAAAGACTATTGTGCTAAGCGCGAGATAGTCTTGGGTTCTCTGGTTGAGTCTCGCTGGGCGCGGGCACACCTGCGCTGGGCGCGCTGGCCCCCTGGTGCTCTCTGGTTGCGCTACGCTGGGCGCAGCCACGTGTGCGCCGGGCGCGGAGATGGGATGATTATGTATGAAGTTTTGTGCTGAGTTGAATTGAAATAGAAGGTTATGAAATGATGTCTAGCAGATAAAGTTATTATTGATATTAAGTTGTATCCGATGAATGTGTTGAGAAGTGGTGTTATGTTGTAGCTGATTTGTTGAACTGTGAAGTTGATATGTTGAGTTGTACGTTTGTGTTGTGTTGTGAGTTGATATGTTGAGATGTATAAGTTATGTTGTGTTGGAATATTGATGTGAGTTGTTGTAGGCCGCAAGGCTGAGTTGTTGTAGGCCGCAAGGCTGAGTTGTTGTAGGCCGTAAGGCTGAGTTGTTGTAGGCCGAAAGGCTGAGTTGTTGTAGGAGATCTCCGAGTTGATATGCGTGACGA